CACCTATAATATACAGGAAATGCATGTAACATACAGGACGTGTACAATTTATTTACATCATCTGCAGTGAGCTGGTTATTGGTCTCACTGATACATGCTGGGAAAAAAGAAATGCTTTCAGGAGTGCTTTTCCTGGTTCTCGATGGGCCAAAAGAAACGAGAGGAGTTTCGGAGTTAACATGTGTTGGAGAAGAGGCTGCGCATACCCCTGTTGCACAGGTCCTTTCCCCACACCCGTGGAGTTTCCTGTGTCCCAGGGAGGTGGGTGGTTGTCCTTGGCTTTGCCGTGGATGTGCTGGTTGCTGTGTTTTCCTCCCGTTCCCCCCACCCGGGGACAGCCTGGCAAATGATGGTCTGTCACACTGGGAAGACGAGGAGGTGGATTGGACAAAAGAAACCGAGAGGAAAAGCAGCCAAAAGCCAGGGGTGGTTAACGGCTGGGCCTGGAGAAGCCGCACGTCTGTAGGGTACAAGAACACTGCCAAATACACGTTATCCAAGAGTTTTAACACAATTTATTTTATGCTTAAATAATCAACTAGATCATCCAGTGTTTGTTGTTTTCATACATATGTAATTAGAGCTATTATCAATGAATGCTGTTTCCATATGAATATAATCAACAAATTAAAGTATTTCACCAAAACCCAAATAAAAATGCCCTTTAAAACACAGCAGCCTTAACAACCTAATATTACACTGCTAGGATGATTACAGATGATTGGCTTACTGAAAGATTCTACATCTTATAGCCAGTACACAATACAGTAATAATTTTACAGCGTGCTGCCAGTCTATTAGCTAATAATTTCTCTTCAGTTCATTTAAAAATATCCCAAACTTGTGCTCCTTAGAGCACCAACCCACTTCTAAAGCTGCAAGCATTACCCCCGTTACGAAGCGAGAACAGATAGCACCCCCCTCCCCATAATGCAACTACTGTATATGTTATGGGTTTTAGGTCATTTCATTGTAAAATTGGCAACAGCAACAAATATTAGATGAAGGGCTTTGTGTTTACAGATAAAATCTTATTTTTCATGTTGCGGTATAGTGTTTGCAAAACTGGAAAAGATTTAATCAAAATAAGGTGAAACACATGCATCAAAATATTAGTACTCTGAAGAAAAATTTTCACAGAACTACAGAATTCCTCATTTTGGGAATCATTTAAATTTGCAGCAGATTTTAAAGATTTTTTTAAAATCAAGCTAGCGTTTTTGCATATACAAACATTATAATTGCTAATATACAAGAATCTGTGAAGATACACCCAGAATATCCCTGTAGGTGCAGCCATTTGAGACACCTAGCCTGCTCAATGCATTTGCAATATTCTGTTTGTGATCAAAAAGGCAGTGCCTTATCAACATTTATTCTATTTTGTTAGAATTTATACAGTGTTATTTATTTACAGCAAAACTATTGATGTTTAAAAAAGAAACAAATAGTGTTTTATACCCTGACAGTTTGGGTCCAAGAAAAATAAGGCGAGCTGTTGTGGATTTTAGTAATTTTAGTGTCTTTCCATGGTTTAACCATTTCGTCTTCGTACATCCCTTCTGGCCACAGGAATTTATTTCTTTTGAGATGACATCAAACTGCTTGAAAGAAGCTGTAACAGCATGGCATCTTGTATGTACACTGCATTGGAACTGCGCACCCTCCAATCCTGTGAATGAACGTGAATTTCCATGCTCTGTAAATTGGCTCATGCTAAATTAATTTTTTTGTTTGGTTTTTTTGTTTGTTTGTTTTTGCATAAAAACCATGCGGTTAATGTGTGGAAGCAGCAAACACACGCACACTTTTATAGGTGAATGTTTAATTCCTGTTGATTTTTCTTCCGTGAGTGTCCCTCTAGAATACTGGCAGTAAAAGCACACAGTCCTATGGAAAGAAAAGATAGCACAAATCATTTCAGAATATCTCCTTCGAATCAATTTCATGCCTTTCCCTGACTAAACAGAAATGTTCTAATTGGCAGTATGGAATTCTGCAATAGGATAAATCACACACTTTCTAGGTAGGTAATGACATTAGTTGAGCTCCCAGCACAAAGGCAAAATGCAGCTGCAGATGTCCACATTGCTCGTGAACTGATTTACAAATACGTTTGCAACACGCTGCGTTTCATCACCCCAGACAAAGTACCAGCTCATCAGATCTGATGATGACAAGGAACAGGTACTCTCTATAGCGGAAGAGATAGCATCATCTCCAGAATGAGCAAGCTGCTGCTTTCACAGCACGGTTTTGTTTATTGTGTGCAAGCATCCCCACAGTGGCGGAAAACCTGCATTCCTTGCACATCTACCCATGCCAGTCGCTCGGGGAACGTGAGCGGGAGAGCCAGGAATGCGGAGTCCAGTCTTTAGGAAGCTTGGCAAAGGGCAAAGTATGGAAGAGAAGCCGCCTCATCCATCTCCCGCCTGGCTCATGTGAGTGGCACCGAGGACACAGGGGGTCCAGCTCCTGCTCTCTGGCCCATCCAAAACCAGTCATGCAGCCATGCACGTAAGGACTGCAAGTTTGTTACATCTGTCGTACAACAGCGATGTCTTGCAGCAAGGAGGCAGGAAGCAGAAATACAAACACACCAGCAGACGGGAGCTGGAAGACCTGTGGGCTCCCCAGCACCTGGGCGCAGGGAAGCCTGTTTGGGAGCACGGCTTGCGCGGCGCCTGCGGGATTCAGGCTGGCATGGACATGCCTGTTTACTAATCAGGTCACAGGTCCACGCGCATTCCTCAGGAGTGTTCGAGCTCTCCTTCTGTGCTGAAACAATCTGTCCTTGCCCACATCTACGCTTGTCATAAATCTATCCTGCTGCTAAAAGCCGCCTATTCACATTGCAGCAGTCACGCCGGCTTGCACAGTGCCGTCCTGCAGAATTGCATGCAAAAGTTCTTGGTTTCTCCTTTCAACCTATGTTTCACAATGGGTTTATTTGCAATGGTGACAGACATTTTTACAGCAAAATTTAGCTAATGTTGTGATTCTTTTCAAACATTCAAAGGAAAAGCAACACCTCTGCCTCCCAAACAGGGGATTTTTGTCTTCTGTGTTCAAGAAACAAACCGGTTTTCTGTCAGGTTCCCCTGTCTGTGCAAATACATCCACTTTTCATTCAAATAAAATGTTTTCAATAGACTCTTGACTGGGCTCACAATTACTTAATGCACATTTGGTCATGCTTATATCATAACAAAGTTTGAACCATAGAGATTCATCTTACAGGACAAAGTTTCCCCCTGAGCAAAGGGTTATTAGCTAAGGAAGACTCTCCGAGTTCCTCAGGGGCTTTACCACGGAAGAGTTGCCTACTGGAAATCACAGGAGAAATACATCAGCAGTCATGGTTCTGAGGAACTCAGACTCTGGCTTTCTGAAGGGCAGAATATGTTTTGTACGTTAGGCAAGGACTGCCTTATTAATGCCACTTTATTGTTAAATGAAATGCTTCTCCCTTATCCCCAACATGTGTTGCATCACACTTGTATGTCAGCAGGTTCTTTATCTGCACTGGGGTTCAATGCCCCATCTTGCCTTCGGTGCCCTTGCATTCAGAAATTCCCACTTGTTCCCCCCTGCAGACCGACAGCGGAGAAGCACGGGAGCCAACTTGGACACAATTTCATACAAGAAGCGCCATCCCTTTGGCTTGTTTCCCCCTGTATCCTTGACCTCCATGAAGGAGAAGGGCGTATCAAAAAATCACCTCTCTTTTCAAAACATTAAGTATTTTATGAGTATGTTAAGCAACAAGCCACATGAAGCGGTATTATTCCATTGGGACGCGTGGAAGGGCTCTCGATAAAAGCAGGAATTCAGCGGTTGCGCCAGGTGGACACAGTAGGTGCTTACCAGATGCTGAAAGCATACCAGTCGCCTCACAGAGCTCGCTCCTTAGGGCTGGATCCCACAAAGCCCTCAGCTAGATCCCACACACCGAGTGCCCCTGGTCTCAAATGGCACTACTCAGGTGCACAGAAAGCCCATATAGCCACGTGGCTTTAGGGGCTGCCTTACATTGCAGCAGTCGGAAGGGACTAGTGACTCAGGAGAGACTGCTTCTGTCCTTTACCTCCACGTCACTATCCAGTATGTTTTCCAGGTCCTGTTTATCCTGTTCTTAAATCCTACAGTCAATCCTATACCAGATGTACAGGAAAAGGATATCACATAGACTTGTACTTCCTAAACTCTCCCTCTGCCCAATTCCTAAAACCCACCAAATCCAATAAAAGTTCTGACTAGAAAAAAGATATAAACATGGTAAACATACGTACTTGAAGCCATGACCGACTGACCAGCATTGACAGACATAGACTGGCTCCTCCCTTATTTACAGGCGCATTTGCTGTGGAACTACAGCTACATGACAGAGACAAAGCAGCCTCTGGCTTCACGGTGCTCCGGCACACCATCACAGAGCCCCTGCAAGGGTGTCTTGGTGCTTTTGGTTTTAGTTGGGAAGGCCTTATACTGTCAGCTGCTGTTTTGTTACAATCGTTAAGGCTAATCAATAAAATTCACAAGAAACATTTGGTAAGGATTACTTGTTGGCAAATAATTGAGACACTTCACTGGTTCTTATAAGGACTTTGACTTGCATAACTGCGCCCAGATCACACGCCCAACAGCGGCAGCAGATTTTCACTCCCAGTAGATTTACTTGTGTGCAGCTCCTTCGCTATCTGTGTTCACGTTGACTTTTAGGACTAGAAAGTGCTGTGGATTACAAACATTAGACTTTGTAAAACTCGCCAAAATCTTACACATGCCTCAGAATTGCTTTGCTTTACCTTCCAAGAAGTAAAGCCCAGTTTCTATACATGAACTCAAGGTGATTTTCTGCTTACAAGATCAAGGGCCATCTATTCAGCTTTGCAGCTCGAAAGCGACGTCAAGGTAGCAGAGGCAAGCCACTGCGCTGCCCAGGCGCTAGCCTCCGTGCTGCACAGCGCTGTGCTGGCAAAAGGCTTTAGCAATGGAAGAAAATTGATCACACTGACCGTTCAGTGGTTGGCTTTCAGCTTTCATGAGTAACTTTTTTTCTCCACGTGTCTGACTTCTTTCTTTGTCTTAACCTTATAAGCTTCTCCCTGTTTTAAAGGAAAAGTATAAACATCAACATAGTTTGCAGAGAGTGCTTGTAATTATAAACCTGCTTCCAAAACAGGCTCCACATTTTGCTGTGACAGGATAAGTAAAAAGCAGTTAAATCACATCAGCACTTCATTTCAAAGATACACACCATCTACTTATCCACTCTGCTGAGCTGCAAAAGCACAGGCCTGAAATATCATCTTCAAGTAAAAAACACAGGCCTACAATTTCAGCACGACCCCTGGGCTGGAGCGCCCAACCGGCAGCCCTCAGCAGAGACCCTGCCATCAGCTGCAGCGGGATTCAGTGCCACCGTCAAGGAAAATCACCTTTCCCAACCGGCCTCCCGGCTCAGTCGGGATTGGCGGACATTTCCAACAGCATAGGCCATGGCTGCTGTTATGATGTTTCACAACGTCTGTGCTTTAAAGTGAGCAAGTTAGTAATGGAATAAAGGGAGGAGGAAGAAAGCCAGCAAAAACCACCACCGAAGCAGCGCAGAAGTAAAACCAATGACAGTGACAAGCGGTGCAGGTTTCAGTGTCTTTAAAACAGCAAACCCCCAAAATAAAGTTCATCTTTGCTCATTAAAAGCAGCTCAATAATCATCTAAAAATAAATACTCCAGTAATCACAAGCCTCATTCACATCAGAGAAAGGCATCTGCTTATGTGTGGTTATCGGCAGAATTTACCCCTCGGGTGATCTGCATTGACGTTTTTGTAACTATTTGTAGCTTCCAACTAATCTAACCTGGTGCAGCAAATTGAAAATGTTTCCCCTTTGCTGGGCAGGATTTTTTTTTCCCTGATAAAGGACTTCGAAAGGGGGGGGATGGAAATCCATGTTTCAACTCTCCTATTTCTGAGTCGTTCCCCCCCACACCTTTTTTTTTGTTTGTTTGTTTTTATTACCAGCAGATAAAGAGTATTTGTTATCTTTGTTTCTGAATCTGTTTTCACTCAGACAAAAACGCCATTAACCCCAATGACAACCTTACTGGAGCAAAGACCTCCCAGGGCCATGTGCTGGGGAACAACGCATGAGCTCCCCTGAAGCCATTTGACTCCAGAGGTGCTGCCCGTTCCCCTGAGGCCTCCGCGGGACAGAGGACAGCTGGAGGCACAGCCTGCCCATACCCCCAGAGCCCCCTGCAAGAGGGGCTGGGGCACACTGGGGCACAACAGGCCTGCCCTCCCCGTTGCCCACCTTGCTTTTTGGGGGTGCTGAAGCTGGGCACAGTCCGGCCCTCCAGAAGGGCTTCCGATTTTAATTGCCAGGGGCAAAATGCTATCTTGGTGCTTGCCTGTAAAGGATACCATTGCTTGGTACGTTCCCCTGAATCCTGCAAACTCTCAGACGCTAACACAGGGGTATGGCACAGGTGAGCGAGAGGCTGGTGGGGGCCAGACTGCAGCTCATTCCTTCGGGCTGGTAGAAAAGCAACGCACTACACCTACGGGTGTAAGGCACAAATTCTGCAAGGGCTTAACCAAACCCACAGACTTGGCTCATCTTGATGGCACAAAAGAGGGCCCAATCCTATGGTTTAAGCCTGCTGCCTGTTACACAGAAGCAGGCCTTAATGCTTCTGTGCTGACAGAACTCAGCCAGGCCCCCTCGACACAGCCCCTGCCCACACACAGCACAAAGAGAGACCCCTGCCCCGTTACCCAAACGCACAACTTGTCAATAACCGCCAGCACCGCACTTTGCCAAGGCTTCTTGTTAAATGCAAACCTCCAGCCCTTTAGCAGCACTTTCTAGCAGTCAACACAACCCCTCTACGTCTACTATTATTTCCTGGCAGTCCCCATTCCATTACCATTTCACCAACTTTCCTCTCATGGGGGATAACAACGCGTCTTACTACCTTCCGGGTGATCTGTGGGAAGCAATACATGAAAAGTACTGATTTATTTTTTTTGCCTAGATTCTAAAGGGAGAAAGTATGTTAAAACAAGTTACTTGAATGCAAAGACTCATAGCAGTGATGTAATTCATGATTACTTTTCTCGTGATGACGTTGCCTTCTTCGTCGGTAAACTGTTCCTCTGTTACAGATTCACCAGGAATGTTTTTTGCTTCCTCACCCTAAAGAACGTGTTATAAGATTAGCAACGTAGCCTATATTCTGCCAAACCCACACATATTTCCACACCAATCCAAGCAACAAGCACATGCTAGCTTCCATTTTATGTAACAGTTTGCTTTATGTCACACAAATAGTATGAAAGCCTTGCTCATTTAGCATGCCAATACCTATGCATTTATTCTACAGACTGTGTCCTTAAAGCCTGTAGTGAGCTTCTAGCACACTGCTCTTATTAACCAATTCATGACATGAAGCTCTCTGGGCAACAAATCATCTTGCGGTCAGTCTGAGTCCTATGAGATGGAGGCACAAATTCATGACGATATAATCTCTAATCAGACATCCATTAGCTTTTCACAGCTTCTTGGTGCCCATCACACATAGAAGCATAGTCTGACACCAAAATAAGGTGGGGGAAATTTGGGATTTAAAAAGACAGCTCTGCCTATAGCTTGCTAAACACAGATCTTAAACACACGCACAAAAGACAAGACTTCTCAGTATTTACAAAATGGAGAAAGGTATCTTACGTGACAGTTTTCCTGGCATGGTAACGCCTGCCGACCTGCCGAGGAGCCTCGGCAGCCTGGTGCACGACTTACTGAGATCGGCAGCACTCCAGTCATCGCTTCTTGTAGTACCAGCAATTTATAGGACCAGTGTAAATAAATGTAAAAGCAGTTTCCTAACTGCTATGCTAATGACTACCACTACAAGAGCTACGGTTCAAACTATAAATAAATGACATTACTTTAGAGTTTAAGGCTAGCTGGCAGTCATGAACTTATGTTCCAGAAGAACTTTGACAATTTTACCTCATAAAGTTGTTTCCAAACCTGAGTGCTGAAGCAAGCACTGCACTTGACGCTTCAAAAATATCCATCGTCCGTGCTTATTTATTTCATATAAATAAAACAAATACAATCGTAATGTAGCTGGCCTACATACGAAAAATTTCCACGCATAAATGAATAACGCTTTAAACAAAAAAACAAACAAACAAATCCTTAAAGCTTTTCTTCTCCCCTCACCCTCAACCCACTATGGAAAAAAATGGCAACTAGAGAGAGGAAGCAGAAAGGAACATTGTATAAGACATGTTATATCAACATTAACAACAAAATAATATGTGAAATGAGATTATTACAGCTCAACATCAAGCTTTTATAATGCTTCCACGTACTAAGCAGCACAGGACAAATGTAATTTGTATTTACCCTGGTCTATATGCCACATAGTTGTCTACATAAGCTGCTGCTCTGTAATGAACAAACATAGTGATGCCATGTTTATTTTTTTAATCATCTTCCTTACAAACACAGCTTTCTCAATATGTACATTAAAACATTAGGTTTGTATGCTATTTCTAAGCTCTAAACCAAATAAACCTTTCCTTTTGTTTACAAGCCATTTGCAGTCTTTTCTATAGCCAAGCTTTTCCATTTTCCTTGCTTGGGGGGGGGCGAAGTGGAGGGGAGTACTGACGAGCAGAGCACAGCTCTGCTGCCAACCCAGCCCCTGTCAGCATTTGGCATTATTTAGAAGTGCAGAATTTTTGCTTATTTCATATTGAAAGCTGTATTGAAATCACTGCTCAATAATTAAGTAATTAAACAGTTTCAGATGTTTTACATGTCTATATATAGGCTATATAGAAACTGCAAAACTTGCCGAACTTTGATGCTTCAGGAAGTGTCGCCAAGAGAAGGGAAGGGCAGGCTCCACGGCCAAGTGGATATCGCTGCATGGGGACATAAGGATGAGGTCCTGTGTCTGAGATACAGCTGGGGCTGAAGGGACCTAACTGAGGTCCCCAGGTCTGGGAACGGTGGCATCCCTACAAGAAGCACAGCAGAGCAAATGGCTGCTGAAGCCTTTGATGGAGCCTGGGCTGGGCCCATACAATTCATTCCCCAGAAGGACTCTGCTGAGGGGTCACGGGAAGGAGAAATGCCATACCTGCCTAAGCACCCACGTCAGGCTACACGCAGCAGGAGGGAAGTAAGAGGCTGGCCCCCCCGGTGAGCGGGGCCCCAACGACGGCAGCCTGCTCCTTCCTTTCTCACGAGCGAGACAGCAGAAACGAGAAGGGCTCGGGGACTGCTGCTGCGGCAGGGGACGATGACTGGGTAAAGGTTTTGGGAACTGAAACCTGTGGGGTTTCCCAGCCACAATGAAACAGGGGGGAAATACTGATACTGGAGACTTAATACTTTAATCAGAAGCATAGCAGATGGGGAACTAGCTGCACAGTTTCTTTCCTGGCCTCCCACCTGTGGGCTCAGAGACTCCCCAGCAGGCTCCAGCACGGTGCCCCAAGGGACAGGAGGGAACCCTGGCCCAGACATCCCTCCCATCGCATGGAGCACACGGGTATGGAGAGGTTCCCTCTCATGGATAGGATCTCTGAAGCCACTACAATGAAAACCGTGGAAAACAGAAATAAAACATGGCCAGTAGCAAGGTCACCAGAGTACCTGGCACGCCAATCCTGCTTGTGTGTACTGGTCCTTTGACTCCTTACTGCCACTATGAGCAAGGTCATTCCTTAAAACAAGTCAGTGAGAATTACTGTGTTCAGCTTTAAAATGAAAAATGTATTGATGTGCTGAAAGATGTGTCTCGGATGAAAATGCGGTTTTAAAGGTATGGTGAATCTTGGTTTTTAATTAGCTACGTGCTCCTTTAAGCACAGTTTAAGGATAAGTGCTGTAAATACTCAGCAGTCAGCACGCATGAAATCCAGCTTTCACAGTTCTCTTGCTGATGGGTAGTTAAACAAATTGCAGGAGGGCTCACAATTGGCAGGAGGTAGATCTGATTTACTGACGTTTCTAATCCTATGGAGTTATAAAGACGGATGTTTGCTAGGAAAAAAAGCTCTTACGCACTGGCAGTTTTACTTGTCAGATCTGAAACCAGCTTTGGGTTAGAATGGCACATTAGATGACCTTGTCAACAAAAGCTGTTTTTAAACACAAAGCTGGTGTATCTGCGTCACAGCTAAAGAATAAAATTCTTTCTGATGCATCATACTTATGTGGGCTTCATTTTACCCTTGACCAGTCGAAATCACTGTCACAATACCAAAAGCTTTAGAAAGGCAGGGAGAAAACTTAATACCGCGATTACTGGAAGCTCAGTTATATCCCTGGGACTAAACCATACAAAGGCTGCAGTCTGCAAGCCTCAGCCCCGGAACATGCCAGGAAGCTTTGCAAAAGCAGAGTGCTTTAATGTCACCCTGCTCGCTGGAGTGTAGTCCTGCCAAAACCAGCTGGTATCCTCTCTCTGCTGCTCTCCAGAGCAGGAGTAGCAAAGAGCAGCTTCCTCAAAGTCTCCTGTCAGCTCCACTGATTTTCTTAAGTTATTTGCAGACCATGGGTGTTCCCAGGGACCTCCAGATAAATGGAGTTATACAGTTCGTGCTGCAGTATTGTGCCAAAGTTCACTTCAGATTTGTCAGACCTCTGGTTTTCTTTCATGTTTGTTTTGTTACTAGAGGGATAATAGTCCCTTTTATTCCTCCTATACATCTAGCATTGCTGTAACAGCAGAGAAAAAAGGTGCGGCTGGATGTCTCTTACCCAGACGGATAAAAAGGAATTCAAAAGCAGGCGGAAATAAGCAAGATGGAAAGATCCTAAATATTTAATTTCACCAAAGGCCAGAGGCAACACTGCAATGGGAACAGGAGCTGTACAGAGCACTCAGACCTCTTCCCTTACTGGCCTAAGCCACTATCAAGGCATAATCCTTTCAGTCTCCAGATCACATTCTTGTAATGCATAAACAGCAGCTGCGCCTCAGTCTCCTTGGGGTCTCAAGCCTCTGTGGCAGTGGCAGTAGAAACAAACATCTTTCATGAAGGTCATTTTCATTAGTGAGTTCTGCCTACTCAGGGAGAACTTGTTAATCAGATGCCACGACTCTCTGCCTGCGCCTGTGCTGAGTCTGTACTTGCTTGTTTGCAGATGTATTGCTGAAGCTATGGGGCGGGGGGGGGGAATAAAACCCCAACAAACCAATAGGCAAGCCAAGGAGATCTGAAAGGAAATGGTGCTGCAAATGGGACAGAGTATAGCCCAACACTGGGAGCTGGGTCATAGGTCTGGTTCTTGTTGCATGGAGGACAACATGACGAACAGAGCTTATAACAGCACTTGTAGTCTGTGTTTTAATTTACTCCTGTGTTATCTCACTGAGGCCAGCAGCTCTGACCCTGCCAGTCCCTCCTGGGGCGAGGGCACTTACGGAGCAGAGCAATTCTGCAGCTTTCCCAGCCTGGCAGGGACTGCAGTGGAGAGGCTGTGCCCAGCTGAATACACAAATGGAAACACTTCCCATGTGCCTTACGTGGGGTACAGACCCTTAATTCTTCTCCCCTACAGGGTGGCCACATTTTCACTTTCCATAAATAAGTTTTGTCTGAATAATAAGATCGTGAAAGCTGCTGGTTGTAGCTTTAACTGACTGCTGCTCAGGCTCCCATGCCATTCCTCCAGCGCAGGCTGAATCAAACCCTCCGCAATCAGTAATGGAGGCTTTCATGGGCAAAATGCATGGAAAGAGACAAATAAATCTTTAATAAAAATTGGCAAGAAATAACAAAAGTACAAGACACACAATTACATCAGATGTGAATAACCTCTGCTTAGAAATCTATTTTATTTTCCATTACAAAATTCTACCATAAACCTTTTGGCAAGAATCTTACTAAATATTTTTTGCCAAAAATTTGTACCCATGAAAGATTTAACAACCTCTAAAAAAGCTTGAAAAATTAGACACTGATTTCTGTCATGACTGAATAAAAGGAGCTTTGGATCAGGCTCTGAATGTGCACATTGTGGCAGCACTCTTATTTTTCCCTTGTGTGCTAATTGCTCGCATTCCTATGCTACCATAAACACACATTTCTTTTGCAATGCCCCATCCCATCAATCCGCCATGTGAACAGAAGAGGGGAAAGGAAGCAAAAACAAAAACGTCTGCACTACCTTGAGGTTAGAATACGATCCTATTACACGTGGAAATGGGCATCAGTCCTTGCTTGTCTGGTTTTATGGGCTCAGCCCTCTGAAGTGCTAAATCCCATGGGAATGTGCTCCAGAGTGCTGAACACTTGACAGGACTCAGCTCTCGGACTGCTGGGAAAATACCTCCAGGGGAAGAGAAAAGCCTTTCTCCATGTTTGGGCCAGGACAGAGAACTAAGGTAGCAGTTAAACGGAAATAATAGTGTTAGCAATAATGCAGAATGGCACTGAAAGGAAAAACAAGTTGGGAAAGAAGAACAAAGGTAATGAAGCAATTCAGGCCTGACAGTAGCTGTGAACGCACATAGCAAAGTCTTTTTTCCACGGGACTCAAGTTATCCTCAAGGTTTTGGCATTACCAAACTTTATCCCTGCAGGCTACATGAGTACCTCTGCTGCTTTGAATGCAACAGGCAGGCAGTAATGAATAAACGCCGCGGTAAAACCACGCAGCTCCCATGTGCAGCTCTGCCCAGGGAAGGCTCCAAGCACACCCTCGTCCCCCCCTCACCGCTGCTGGCAGCATGGCTGGCCGAGGGGGCTGACGGCACCGGCACAGCACTGCCATCCCCTCATGAACCCTGCACCCAGGTTCTCCAGATGTTCAAAACCGTTTTTATTCCAGAGAATGCAAACTCAACAAAGATTTTTAGGGCTGGCTCCTACGTAACCGTAACTTAAGACAGCACAGGATAAGTACTCCCATGGTCTAGGCGTTACTGTAGAAAAGTACTGGGGCATTTCATCATCAGCGTGTGGTGGGCTTGCTGCCTGGGGGATGGGGGAGCCGGAGGGAAAACATCCCTGCCTCCTTCTCTGCATCGCCCCTAAACAACTATTTGGCTAGCCAGGAGTGTCAGAAAACACAGGAGTAGAAGGAGAGCCCAATTCCCCTCTCACTACTGCTCCGTGCAAGTGATGCCAGCCCCGCTCAGGGTAAGCCTCACAGAGGAGCACCAGGGCAGTGGGGTCAAGGCGCAGTAACCACTCAGGCACCGGGCAGGCAAGAGCCTGCCGCTCTGACCGCAGCTCGGGGCCCTGCCGCACAAACCCAGGGGTGGTTTTCACTCTGCAGGCCAGGAGTGTTGCTCCCTGCCGCTGAGTGCTATACCCTGAGACCTCTTCCCTGAACCAGGAGCTGTTCTTCACCAAACTCCTGCTCCCAGGAATGTGCAGAAATTGAAGTCTGGATCACTACCAATGTTAAAGCTCAATTCTTCCATTTCATATCACCATTTCACGAACTTTGCATGATCAAAATGGTTGTTTCCCCTATCAAACTCTTTTTCTAAAAGGCCTGGTGATTGCTACTTGAAAATTTTTCTTGTTCTGTTTTAATACCCACTGAAATGGTTGTTTCCCCTATCAAACTCTTTCTCTAAAAGGCCTGGTGATTACTACTTGAAAATTTTTCTTGTTCTGTTTTAAACTTGTCTTGAGGTACAGAGAGGGGGATAAAAAGGAACCTATAAATCATCAGAAAATGACAGAAGTATCACATGTATTTTCTAATCAAGAGACAGGTATAGCTCTAATCCAGTTCAGATCAGCCACATTCCCAACAGAGCAGGTTCAGCTGCCTCCACTCATCACGCACACCCTCCCAACTGCATCTGCATTAGCCACAGATTGCAACACTATATACGCTGCTTTACCGTTGCTCTGTTGAAAGTCCAACCCCAAATTTTACTACCACATTTAAAAACAATTTTCCATGCCTTTCTCTAAACACAGTAGATGTACTTGGAAAGCAAGTGAAGGCTGCCTTTTACAGACTTTCTCTTTTCTACTCCAACATTTCCTGACTCCAAACCAGTGGACACTAAAATAGTCCAGACACAAATTGGGTGGGGGACCTCAGCCACAGGCTATCTATGCAGCCTTTAAAACTTTCAGCACATGGATACTTCATGTCTTACCAGAAACACTCCTACGGCATTCAAGGGTCTGTAATCGCCCACAGGCTGCCTGCCCTGTTTGAAAACAGAAACCACATTCCTATTTCTGACCAGTCATGTTTTATCTGCAGAGGGAATTACCGATGAAGGGTTAATACCCCAACCGGTCTAGGGCCTTTTACGGAAGGCAGCAGGTTCCACCTGTAAAGAGGAGGTATAGGACAAAACATTCACTTCTGCTGAGCTCATTTTCCCAATTCCTGCCTTGTCCCAGACAGAAGCACAACTGGTATACTGAAGAAACTCAGGGTGAAGACAGTCAGAAATGTCATCCTGCCTTTTCCCAAAGTGTCTGTATCTTGGACACATCAGTAGCTGTGCAGAGCAGCCTATCTGCCGTCCGCATTATACAAAACGTGCGGTGCCTGTACGCATGCGCTTCTCCAGAAAGCATGCAAATAACAGCATGTAGATATGTGCAGAGTATCATCAATCATTCCTAAAGTAACAATTGTATCTTGGGCAAACTCAGCTAGTGCTGTAATAGCGCTATGGTGTCTGGCTGTCTTTTTCATGGCTTGACTACATGATTTTCTAATAAGAATCTAATAAATCCTGTAAGTTACTGAGGGATTAACATAATAGTTTCTGATACAGAATTATTTTCTTATGCTATATGCTACAGGCAAATAATGCCATGATATATGACCATACAAGAAAAAAATATGAGGGCAAATGCAATAATGCAATTATTTATATACTGATAACAATGGCATAGTCATATAAAGTATATTGTGCTGCAAATAAAGGCCATCTGTAAATAAATACACTAAATAAAGCCTACTGAAGGCAATGCAAAGACTCTTATTAACTTTGTTAGGTTTTAAATCAGGACCACTTGCTGTTTTGAGGAGGTTTTCCAGAACACATCAAGCACATAGGACCACAAGTTTCAACCACAGTATATAGCTCATACTCTCTTATATCCCACTCATGTACATTCCTGCAACTTTTAAACTTGTAATTTAGAAGTTTTTTGAGAAAACAGGAAAAAAAAAAGAAATTGTCACCCCTATCTGTCTGCAATTCATTTTGCTCTTCGTCAGACCAACACACTGCATCTAGCTGTAGTCTTTAAGATGCCATGCAAAACAGTGGCAGCGAAGGACACAACATGCCATGCAGCACAGCTGTTTTCCAGCAGAAGACAACCATAAACCTCTGGGTTAAGCAAGGAAAGGTCACCTAGCACTTGGTTATAAATACATACTGGCAATGGAAAGCACACCACTGAAGGGACTCCAGTATGTCAAAACTGACATTCTGACACAGCAGTCCAAACCCACATCCATGCCAATGTCTCCTCAGGAATGCAAATCACAAAATACCTTCAGAATCAACCGTCGTCGATAAACTCTTGTGGTAATTCTCTGCTCTTCATCTGAGCTCGAATCACTCTCAATCTCACTGTCACTGTCACTACATTCCTAATAAATGCAGTTTTAGTATATTTGAACAGCACATTTGCAAGATAGAACATGCTGATCAGGACTAGGAGAAGAAAACAGAGGTTATCATGGACAGTGTTTTTCCTGTCTCTCTTATGTACATAATGACTCGCAGTTTTGCTCTTAAAGTATATGGTGAGAGGAGGCCTTTTTGCTCCTTGACATGCTGTAGCTTGATACATATACCTGAGCAGCTCTTAAGTCTTAGAAAATAGCATTTGGAATGCATCTGACCTGTGGAATTTCCAAATCTTACGTAGTTGTTAAAAATTTTGTGTACAAAAAGACCTTGTCAGAACTCTTTGCTTTTTTCTCCTCAAAATTTAATGTTTCAAACAAATTGTGTGGATTCGCACAGTATGGGAAGTGAATTCCCTCATAAAGAAAGACGACAGTCACACTGAAAGATTCAGTGGAGCACCTCCACAACAAGCATCTTGAAGAACTTCTCCATGTAAATGGCTTCCCTGCTCAGTATTTATCTGCTTTTAAGTAGCAAAACTGTACCGTGAACTACCATCATTCTGCATTTTTTAAGAGGGGAACTGGTAGACGTCAGCTAAGGGTGAGGGGGAACAGCCTGAAGCTGGTCTCAGCTTGGTGCCGGGAAGTACCACAGCCACATGCAGGCATCTGCTCCATCCTGGTGCCCTCTGACAGCCCCAACGCTTTCCCCTCCGAAACCTAAGGAGCTCCTCGGCTTTGGGGCTGAGCAGCTCTGTGCGCACATGCCTGGCGGAGGGCTTCATACCTACGTGTGTGATGGACACAGGCAGAGGCCCTTCTCACGTGATGTTTGGCTGAACCAACCTTTTTCTGAATAAAGAAATTCGAAAATTTTCTCTATAATTACTCAATGACAGCCCCAAACTGATTTTAAAGTCATGAACAGTGGATACTGCTAACTGCATTCTTATTTCTCTCTTTTAATCTGGCCCAAGACATCCCAAACAAGAAGCATTTCCCAGAAATGATGTGTAAAATAAGAGTAGGCATAGGTGGGTGGAGGAGAAAAAAGGCTATATAACAAAAAGCACTTAGGGTAGGATGACAGTATTCATCTGCTCATAAAGTCTCCCGCTGTCCTCTAACACTAGCCAAATATATATACAAAAAAAATTATATTTGAACCCTATTCTGAAGAAGCAACATGAAGCAGGAGAAGATTCCCAGAAGGCATGAAGGTTTTGGAGGAAGAGTTATTTTTAATAAACAGCTTCAAGTGGTTTATTTGTGATGGAATCCTGACACTGGGAGTCACCTCGAGCATGTGGTGGACATCACCCTCTTTGGGATAATAGAGCAACTGTGCTGTCCTCCTCTCATTTAAAAGGATCACTGGAATCTGATGCTTGAGCGTTCGTAGAGAATTATATGGTCTACACTGTCACTGCTCTGCTTTCATAAACTTTTGGGCATTTATGTGGACTTAGGAAACAATTTGTTTCATCCACGTCACCAGGTAGCAGCCCAATATCAATCGTCTGAGTTTCTCTCTTGTTGCAAACGGTGCCAAAACCCTCACCCTGCAGGTAGATGACTATTGCTCCTTAGCTCTTTCTCAGTGGGTCACAGAAAAAAATCTCTTACTTTGGGAAGTAATTTTATTTTTTTCCCCCTTTTCCAACACAGAAATAGATCTGATTCTTCCATACTTTTCTCTTTATGAAGGATTCCTGAAGAACACCTTGCAGAAAAGACTGCAGTTCAAGTTCTCTTTCTGCTCTCATAACAGCACATGAAGTGTCTCACCACAAATTGGACTGTGTAATAGTAATTAAACTACTGACTTCAAATTAGATTAGAAGATATTCTTGAAGAAAACCCAACAAGATATTAGAAGCAATTCTTGTTGTCATTGTAACACTAGTTTGTTACCCATTTAGGCTTTGAGAGAGACTCACATTTAGAAATGACATTATTTTCTGATACCAGTTTATTCAAAGATCGTGTCTATAAAAAGACTTGTTATTTAGAAGATAAGATTATCACCCTTTACCAATAAAGCAAAACTAGTGCAAAAAGCATGCCTAAGAAAAGCATGTGCTTATTCTTCCCAATCCAGATGGGATATCCAAAAGTAAAGGGCACACAAAAATGGATGACAACTTGTCTTCTCACTGATGGGAATCCAGAAGGGGAAGTGCAGCACTGTTGCACACCTCAGCATGTTACAGTATGCATCTACGCTTATCCTTGCATTTAAACTAAGCATAATAATATCGGCCCAACGTCTGCCCCAAAGCCTACTGACACTACAGAAACTCTGCCATCTGCCTTTAACTGCCTTTGCAGAAGGCTCTTTCTTACATTTTTTAAGTATTCCAGTAATTAGTGAACATTAGGAAAGATCTTTGCTGCTTCAACTGTGTCACGAACTAATAACAAGATAATAACAATCATATGCTGCATAACTGCTGCGACTGATTATGTTACCATCTAATAAAAGAACTCTTGGTTGTATAATCGGAAGAATAGTTTAAAATTAACTAATTTAAACATGAATGATTTATTCCAGCCCACCACAGCCAACATTTTTATTGTGCTACAATAAAAAAAAATCTATATCATGTAGAAGCAATTCTACTGAAATCCCTCACTTCCAGAAATTACAATATCTTCCTGTATTACGCCCAGGAAAAGACAATCTCAGCAGAGAGAGGAATGTAGAGAAACACTGCAATTCCCTTTTTCAGCCTGGTTCCCTGCCGGCCCTGTGGTCTATTCTGTGGCAACCCTCAGACTGCTGGGGTGCGAGGTTCACGCAGCTATGGGGCTATAAGCCATTCTTTGAATTGACTTAAAAGTAAAATTTCTGGGAAATAAATATAAGTCATTGCAAAAGCTGTTAAAATCTTTATCGTCAGAAAACAACTTATAACTGAGGTTCTGCATTTAAGGATGTGCAAGCTGGGCAGGTAGAAACAAAGGGGAGCCTCTCTGCAGTATTTTAAGAGAGAACCACCACCTGGAAAAGTGCTGTACACATTTGGAAATCTTTTGATTACTCTTCGCTGGACGCATTTTGGAGTTGGGATGAATGAGGCCATGAAACAAAAAAAACGTAAGGAGGAGATTAAATATTACCCAAAATCTATTTTTCTGCAAATTAACAGAGTAAAAAAATGCAGAAGGTTTTGGGGACAAAGAGCAGGATAGAGGCCAAAGAGTCCCTATCTTTTTGTTCACTTCAATGTCACAAAAAGAGTGGAAACCAGTGGCACTACCTTACTGGAAACAGATGGAGGACAGCTGAGCTGTTTGGCACTGTTTGGACAGGTGGTATATCAGGGCAGGAAAGGGGCCTGTTTCCCTGCATTGCAGGACAGCAGTCCCAGAAGCTGCTCTAACCTCTTCCAGGGCTTGAGGCCAGCCAGGCAGAGGATTATGCAGCCCTGCTTGGCTCCTCTGCCTGTCCCAACTCCAACTCATTCTATTCACACCGCAGAACATAAATTTCCACTACCTTCCATTTTTCTTAAATTTAGCAATAAATAGAAGAGGCATAAAGAAGGATTAAAAAAAAAAAAACAAACACAACACAAAAACAACTCTGTCACAAACAACATTACAAGTCTTACAAAAAATTATATCAAGCAATATGTCAAGCAATAGGGACTCTTCACACAGTTAATTATTACAGGACATACTGTACCTTCTGTTCAGACATTACTGTTCCCTCCTCCTCCTGGATGCTTGTTCTTGGCTTGCCATCCTCAGAAGTACTCCAGCTCATCTTCTTCACACTGACAGGCACAGATGTTTTGTTGCCTTCTGTTGTTGGCTTGCTAGTCTCTTCCAAAGATTTCTGATATGCTGTTGTTGACAACGTTTGCTCATCAGTACCAGCTGAAATTTGGGGCTTTGTTTTCAGGGCTTCTTTGTCACTCTGTTTGCCCACATCATTTAAAGATTCCAGGATGTAGGATTTAGATTTCGTCTCTGTTGTGGATTCGGATAGGCTTCCATTTGTTTCAGGCTTCCCTGCTTCTCCTTTGACATATGAGGTAACAGAATCCCTACATTGGTCCAAACTATAAGAAAAAGAAAAAAAGAACAGACAACCTTTCAGTGCTTAAACCACACACAGAAGGACAAAGCACTGAGCCTGTTACTGAGCCTTCATTCTTAGCACATACGTGAGACAGAGAAAAGCAAACATCAATCTATTTAATGGCCTTATCTTCTACATCATGGTATCTTTTTGGAAGCAACAGGAGTATGGTGAACACTGGAAACAAGGCCAAATGTTTTATGTTAATCCCCTTCCACTTGGGGAGGTGGGGAGGAAAAAGAGAAAGAAAAATACACAAAACCTACAATTTCCCTTGTATAATCATGAGATAAATCCCCAAGGCTCTAATTCTTCAACCTGCTCTCCAACCAAGGAGCTGATGAAAGTATTTGTTGCCATGCAATTACCAGTAATGACCAAATAGTTTATGCTATTTTCCCCCCAGACTACAATATCTGTACTCCAGTTAAGTCATGCCTTTAAAAAATATTGGTATCTGAACATAAATCCTTAGACAGTGCAGAGTTTCAATAATACACAAAGCCAAAGGCAAGGAAGGTTACTACAAGACAGAAAGCTGACCAAAATTTTGCCTCAGATTACCTATGGGCATGTTTAACCTCCCCTTCTGATGCACAGTTTTCTTCTCTTTTGCATTTTTCTTGCTTTCAGATAAACACTACAACTGTGCACGTGAAAATACTACAGCAATTTGCTGGCAAAACTCATATAAGAGATAGCAAATTCAATTAATCTAGTTAGAAATGGATATGTTATCTTCTTAAGGAAGCCCTTTTACTTCTAGAAGTGATCTGTTTTACTAATTTAACACTATATAAAAACGCAGAATAAGAACGTTTGCTTAACAACAGAAATTGCATCAGTAGTAGATCAAGTGCTTTACAGTCCTGAAAGACAATCATTTTGCTGAAATCAATGGCCAAATTCCCACTGGATTCAATAAGAGAGTATCTAATACTACCTGGAACCTTAAAACATCCTGAGTCAAAGCTGCAAAGGATGTAAACTGCTGACAGACAAATGATCACTCTGCAGATAATCATTCTCTGCTGATTTACAGCTCATGCAGACCTGGCTCCTTCAATTAGTAATCATGGGAGCCACATTCAAAACAAAGGCGGGGAGGATCTCTTCACCCAGTGGGTACCAGTAAGGCTGAACACGGCAACAGATATTGTCAATGTTGAAAGCTTAAGTAGGTCCAAGGGGAGGCTGGAAAAGCTCATGCAAGAGAAATGCATTGAGGATAAATAACGTAGAAAGCATCCATCTCAGCAGGTCATTATGCTGAAAGCAAGTGGAGCTTGGGAGAGTACTGGAGGAAAACAGCATATATGTCCACCCTCCTCCTTCCCTGAACATCCTCTGCAGTCACTGCTGGGAGACAACATATGGGACTAGATGGATTTAGTAATACCATTCTTATCTTCTTATGCCTTGTAACTCACCTCTTTGAAAGGCTCGTAAGTCAGCATGACAGAACACACTTGAAGTAAGTGTTGTAAAAACAGTGACAATTTAAAAATTGGCTTATGGAAAAAGTAACAACTATCTGAGGGAAGGCAAAGAGATGCAATGAAAAGGATGACTGCTAAAAAGGTACTCGAAAAATAAGAGTAATGTAGTATCCTGGTTTCAGATAATGTACATTTTATAGTCCTAGATTCCCGTTACATCTACGTATCTCTTAAAGAGAAATACACCAGATAAAGAACAGGAAAAGTAATATTATTCACTAAACATAATACAAATTACTTCTGAAATACCTACATTAAGAATGAAACCTGATAAATATACATTTTTAAAGACAAATATGTCTGAGGCCAAATAAAGTCAACTATTACTTTTTCTTTTAAATACCTATATACATGCATACATGTGTATTCTTATAGAATAGTAGAGCAGCAGCCTTAGCACTGCCACTGGAGGTAAAAGGAGGGTGAGAAGGCTTGCTTACACACACACATACGGTCTCTTATACAAAGGTGCTCACCTATCATCCAAGCGATCTAGCAGGCTACCACCTATTCTGCGTCCCGACGGTGGCTCAGTGACACTTGACGAGTCAGGCTGCCAACCTGTAATTGAAGATATTTCGTGTTCTGCTTGTTGAACACCTTTAAGAATTGACCATACTCTTTCTTCCGTCATCTCCTCAGACTCCGCTCCTTCTTCCAGATGAATGTCCTCAAACAGAGATTTAAGTTTTTCTTCCGTCATCTCCTCATCAGTACCAGACTTTTCTCTCTCAGGCTGTTCAGTCCTTACTCCTCTTTTACTAGTCTCTTCACTCTGCCTTTGTTTAGCATCTTTTGATATCCCGCCATAACTACCAAGATACCGTGGAAAATCCTTAAGGTCCACTTCCTCCAACTGGCTCTTGCCTATGGAAATATCTTTGGGTGTTCCTTCTCTAGGCACTGAGAAATCGAGTTTGCTGTCATCCAGTGAAGTGTCTTCTTCAGTCACCACTGGCGGTGCTGCTGCTGTACCATCTACGTGTCCCTGGGAGGTCACTAACACATCACTCAGTCTACTGGGAGTTCTAAGGGGTGACTCTAGGCTAGAGGTGTCGCTAAAGAAATCGTCCTGATGGGAAGGGGTGGGCGGCACGAAGCGCAACCCAGTGGGAGTTTCCAGTTCCACTTGAATGCTGGGATAACCTAAGGAAGACAGCACATTTGGACTGACTGGGATGAAGCATGGAGTAACAAATAAGCAAATGTCAAATGATTCATGAGTTACATAAAGTATGAAACACATGAAGAGGTGCAGGTGTATAAGAACTAATGCAGTTCTGACAGATTTCTTTACTTTGTTCTGAATAGATGGAACAAAAAATGAGCACTGCCAGTGAATAGTACAGTGAAGCCAGTACTTTTGACTATTTTGTAAATAGTCTATAAAGATTTCAGCAATAGTTTTTGCAGCCTTTTTAACATTTTCAAGCTACAGCAGATCGTCTTATGAGCATGCAATAAATCAAATGTGGACAAGGGCGGTTGTCCCTTTACATCCAATACAACCTCTTGCAGCCATATTGTGTAAATATTTCTTTCCCAGTTTTTGTTTTGTTTTGTTTTTAATTTGGAAGTTTAATAAATAGATTTTAAAAACAGAAGTAGATCATAACATAGGACAGCCACTTTTTTGTCAGCAGGTATTATTTCTAAAAGAGGTCCACATTTTTAATATACTTTTACATAAAAATACACAATATCTGCAAAACAATGGTACTAATATATATCTCCAATTTAATAATAAAGCCACAAGAATGGAATAGAGTGAGGAACAGAAATGGATCCTAATGAGGATACTAAAGAAAAGTAGATCTAAATACACAGCAGGATAAAAAACTAAAAAAGGAAGTTAACAAAGGGATAAGAGAACACAAACACAACAAGGGAGAGCTATATGAATATTTCAGGTACAGTAAAGTTATACAGGTGAGAGGACTGTGGTGAGTAAGGAGATCTTGGTGATCTTGGAGAATGAGGTGATCTTGGTGACATGGGTACAATCAGATACACTGATCAAATAAAGAGAGAAAAGAAGAGAAAAACTGATGAAAACATGGGAAAACCAAACAAAAGAATTAAACTGAATATACACATAAAAATGACAACAAAATCTGAAGTTTGCATTCCAGTAAAAAATAGGTTGGGTAACCTATGAAAGGAAAAAAATACATGCTGCAGGGTTAACTTGACATTGTGCTGCCTGCAAAGGGAAGTGCGTTAACAGGGTTGGGTTTTTGTTTCCTGAATCAGCTGAGAGAAAGGCAAAGATGGTCTGGTCTTGGTGAGGAAAGGAAGCTTGAGGAAGGTTCAGAGAGGAGGAGAGACAGAAAGCAACTGCAGAGAAGCGTATTTCTTTCATAAAAACATTGATGCTACTATTGAAAGGCGCAAGCAACATTTCAAGAGCAACTTTCTTAAAATGTCAACAGAAAATTATTTCTGTAATGCAATGATTCAGTGACTAGCAATGCTGCTCAATAATGGAGGTACACTGAGCTTACATGCTCTAAAGAAAGAAAATCCTACTAAAATACAGAGAAAGCCCAATACATACTTGAACAAATTACAAAAACAAAGGAAATGTTACTTACAAAAGAAAAATCTTATTTAAGGAGCTATTTATAATACATGTGGCAAAAATCAAAGTAAAGAATGTAGCAACCCAGTGCCTGTTAACTAATATTTAAAAGAAGAAAAAACAACATTTAGCATCTTCAACATACTGATAAAGAATAAGTATACCTATGGCAATTCTGTTTTACAAGCAGAACTTCATTTATCCTTTTAATCTGGCTCAAAATTAACCTGCACTATTCTGTTCTCAGTTGGTACAGCTTCCATGTGAAAATTATTACACAATTTTACCCATTGGTAAACTGAAACCGGTATTCTCTCATACACTAATAAAACTTTTTCTTATTTTTCTACTGCTGTTGTAGAAATGGTCTGAGTGAAAATCATAAAGTAATTAATGTTCACTTGTCTCAAAGAGGCTTAGTATTAAGTTGCACATTAATTTACTCTATGCAATCACTAAGCACTTTTTTTTTTTCCTTGTTCTTCCTCCTTCTTTTTCTTCTAAGAATTCTTGCTCTTACTTATCTAGACAGGAAGCCAAACAATATATATATATTTCCAGGTAACTTGGAAAGCATGCAATACCAAGTACATTAAAAATATACATGGGCAAGTCTCAAAGCACAACTATTGCAGAAGAAAAACATTCGGGTCTTGTCAACTGACACTGAGGCTGGTGGGAATGAGCTTACTCAGCCATATGTTTGTGAGATCCTGGGCTTATTCTTTGAGATATTAATGTGCAACCTACGTATTGTACCATGAGTGTGCTTTAGGAAAGGAAAAAATCCTTCACTTTAAAACAATTATTTCTGTAGAACTTACTGTCTTTTTTAAAGTTTAGTTTATAAAACATTGCATTATTGGACAGGTCACTGAACTAAATATGACCATGAAATTCAATTACCATCAATGGGATCATGAAAAACATTATTTTCATCTGCAAAACTTCTGGTGCCTGAAATATTTCCATAATCAAATATTGGTCCTTCCAACAGGGTCACGATATCTATTCGATTAATTTTTGTCAATACAGAAGTTAAGGCATCAGCTGAAAAACAAATAAGACACCGTCAGAAAAAAGTTCAGTTTTACAAAACTGTGTCATCATCTTTTTCAGTTACATTCACATTGCATTAATTATAAATTGCTGGCATATGTTTCTGTACCAATGCCTTTGGTTCTAGCAAACTCCATCATTTGTCTAAATACTCATTCTGCTGCCTACTTGTTCAAGAAATACATCTATTAAGAGTCTTCCCTCCCCCCCAAATATAATTACATTACAACACAAAAGCCACAAAGAATAAGGTCAAAGAGTTCTTAAGGAACGTATTTACTTACTACTGAAACAAAATATCCTTTCACTGGAGCGTAAAAGGAAGTGTAAAAATCCTTTTACCATTCTGTTTCGAGGAACAACAGAACAGGTAACCACGTAGGCAATAAAGCATGCAAGGCTATTCATGCAGTACATTGTGAAATCTCATTTACAGTAATCTTGTTGCAAGAACACAGTAATACTGGAAATTACTTTTACGGTGAAAGAGATCAAAGTAGACTCAAATACTGTGTAGGAGTCTGTGGATCAGAGAATGGTAACGAACACCACTGACCTAACACAAAAATTAAAACCTCTCTTTCAATTTGAGCAATTCAAGTGAAATGCACAGAGAAAACCAGCAGAATCAGTGCAAAATCAGCATCTCCATCACTCCTCACAGAAGGAGGTTTAGTCTTTTCTTATGACCTGCAATACTGCGATACTACCTAACTTTTCTAGGCAGCCTATTTCCATGTTTGAGATTCCTTGCTATTGGAAAATTTTCCCTAATATTTTCTTTACTGGAACCTAAGTTCATTACTTGTCCCATCAGTTGTGAATGTGGAGAACAGATTATTTCCTTCTGCATATATACTGAATAAATATGACATGTTTCTGACTTCTGGTAAAAATACAATGGAAACTTTTTTTCCCTATCAGTGGTTTACAAAAGACATTCATAATGTTTTCTTCAATTTAACCTATTTAGATCAGGCAACAGATGAAATGGGCTATAACTTACAAACAACAAAAGTAACTACTTGAACTTACTTGTAGCATTTTTCCCATCTCTGGTAACCCATTTTTTTAATAACATGAAGCTTTGAGCAATAAGAGAATTTGGGTTTTCTACTCGGATTTGATTTATTTCATCCACAGAAAAATTCAGTTCTCTTGCCAGTTCTATAAAGAAAAAAAAAAAAAAAAAAAAAAAAAAAAAAAAAAAAAAAAAGCAAGAAAGAAAAGAACAGAACAACAAAAACACCAAAGCACAAATCCCTCAGTCATCCTGTCAAGCCTATAAATATTATCTTTCTTAAATCACACAGATGTCGGACAAAACCACCTGACACAAACTTTACAGATAACAATGAACATGGCATTATATACTCATACTTCAATTTCCTAAGACAGACCTAATTTTGAATTTCAATCATCTCTGTGAGCTATTCTCGTATTTATACTCAGTAAGCCACTTAAACATGGTGGGGGAAAAAAACTCCATGGAGACAACCACCCCACTGCTAATTTATAAAATCTGTTTTTTTCTGGTGAGTGTTGCTCCTTCATGAGCTCGCTGTGCAGCTCAGCACTGCTGCTGTCGTCACCTACATGCAGGAAGAGGTGGCTGCTGTAGCTGTAAGCCCATGAAGGGCCAGCTCTGCCCGTCAACATGAAGGTATGGCGGGCAGACAGTGAGGCAACCCCACATATGGCACTGACTTGCTGGGGCACTGCTGGGCTCACTGCAACCTCCAGGGCTTTGGGGAAACTGCTGTCCAGATACAGAGGCAGCCCTGAGCCCGACCAGATAAATCCTCTCAACTCCTTGGATGAGCGACTTGAGAGAAGAACCATTTTAGCTATTTTCCCCATAAGTTTCTGTTTGATTTACTGCAAGACCATGAGATAATTTCCTATTAGGCATCTTTGCCCAGCAACGTGTTGCATGTTTTGGGAGGCTGAACTCACTGTGAGTTCAGGAGAGCCTGATGCAGCCTTGCTGAGGCCTTAGGTAAAAGACTACCTGAAAATGCAACAGCGAAGACTAATTTCAACATTAAAGCAGAAAAGCTTACCTGTCCAGCTAAGTCCTAGGTGATCGGCTACAATTGCCATCCTTATATCTGTCCGTTCACATGGACTCTGTGGACCTGTGATTTACAATTTCTCGATTAAAAAGGTTTTGCACAGAAAACCACAGTACTGGACAATAGTTTATTATAAATAATAGCTTTGACTAAGTTGCCGGTGCTTATATTGTTTACTAGAATGGTTGTGTGTCCTAATAACCTACAAAGCAAATTTTTTTTTCACAGCTTTTAGATTTTCACCTGTGTAAAGCCACATGTCAAACTACATGATGTCGTGTAATGAAATCAAACATGCTGACAATCTGGCTGTTAGACCGTACACAAGTTGTACAATTACTGGTGGAGACCACCAAGACCAGATTATCATCTATTTTCTCTACTTTGACAGAATAAATTTGCTGTCACAAAAGAAATCTTTCAATTTCTGAGTTACATCAATTTTTGAGTTACATGAATGTCTTTGGCATGCTTCACTAGCTTTCTACAGTACAGGATTTGTTTGAAGGAAGAAAGAAGAGTATAAGACAGCACATACAGATGACAATGACAGAATGAAAACTACAGTTAAGTCACTCCACAGGCAATCACAACAGTTCATGCACTAGGATCAACAAGTTGAAAGTTTTACAAACTAGGCTTGATCTCCACGAGGTGAGCCATGAGAGCTCCAGAAACCTGACTGCCTTCATTCTCACCAGTCCTCTTACTCCTCCTCCTCTCACTGTCGGCCTTTTCAATCTTTGATTTTATAGATGCTGCCTCTGTTCTCATGTCTCTAGCAGACTTCGATGTAATGGAAGGCTGGTAAACTTGAGTAGCTTCTGATAAGGATGTGTTCCTTGATGTACTGTCTTCTTCATCATCAGAGACCTCTGACTGCATCTTTTTCTCTTCATCAGATAGACGATCCACAAGCTTTAATGTCTCACCACTAATTCCCTTAAAATATTCAATAGAATGTTTACATACCTCCCTAAGCTGATTTTTCCTTACTTTAACTGTTGTCATGGTGACGGAGGTAGATCTTACCTTTACTGGTAATTTAGAAGGAAGCTGTTTTGGTTTTTCTTTCTCTACCTGCTCTTGTTTTGGCAGGGCTGGAGTTCTTCTAGCTACATTACTCCTATGTGTATTTTTTACAGGAATCCTAGACCTTGCTTCTAGACAGGGAGAAGAATTATTTTGTTTTGCTTTGTCAGGCTTACTAGCCCCTCTCACTTTACTCCCTGTAGTATTGCCTTGGAGATTATTTTGTGAAAAGACTTCTTTTACTGAGCTGGCCTTTACAGGAAGCTTTGATTTTCCTCTAGCCCCTACCAACTCTGTTGACTTTTGCTGTTCTCCTTGTGGTTTTTGCTTATCTCTTACTCTGTGTCCTTGTGTTGTCCCTGCACCTTTTCCTGAAGTGCTTTTCGCTTGATTAGCTTTCTGGAGGGAACATTTCGGTTCCAAATGTTCTTTTAGCACTACATTACAGGTAATATCATCTGTAGGAACAGCAGATGAATCCAAATTGTTGTTGTTATTAAAATTATCTTTTGGAAAATCAGTGTTGTCTGTTTGCCTACAGCTTGTCTGGCTAGAAGCTGAACTCGCGATCACTGCTACAGTTTCATTTTCTAATCCCTGACCACTTGGCATCACAGCTTCTATCTTATCTGTCACTTCGCCAGGGCCATCTTTCTTCAGAGTCATGGTGGAAGCAGAAATTCCCATTTTAATTGGTGTGCGCAATTTGGGATCAACTTTAGAAGCATTTACCGCTGCCGATGGTTTTTCCAGTGAGTTACTACCAAGTGTTTGTTCCATGCAATCTCCACTGGCCTGGATGATGGGCTTATGTTCAACTGCTGTTGTTTCTACTGGTCTCTCTAGGTTTGTTTCTACAGTGTTGTCCCCTGCCTGTGGCTGTGTGATGGCAGTGACTGCACTTTTATCCCCTTCCCCCTTGTCCCCTGACTTCCCTTCAGAAGTATGCTCACCAATCTGAAAAAATTGGAGTCTTTCTTCAACAAAATCCCTCTTGCTCATGTCAATTGCACCACTGCGAGTCATCTCAAACATCTTCCCTTCATGAAATGGGAAGGGGTTGGGCTCGCTAGTTGGCGTACTTTCATCTGTTGGAGTTCTGGCTGGAGTTGTATCAGGTGTTGTTGCTTGAGATCTGTCTTCCACTGCCAGACCAAATGTCTTAGCCTCATCATCCCTTGACTTAGTCTCAAACACTTCATCGTCACCTCGGTTATTGGACCACGGATCGAAATCTAGACTCTTGGTGGCCACCGTTTTGAAAGGTGTTGCAAATTCTTCGTCTACTTTGTAACTGAAATACGTATCAGGAAATACAGTCCTGTCAGGGTGTCTGCCTTCCAAAGTGAAAAACTGTGCCCCCGACTTCTGTTCACTCTTATCTCCGGCTTTTTCAGAAGCTGGACCCTTCAAAGGTGCCTTGTCTTCTTCAGAGCCTACCTTGCCTTCCTCCTCAATGACTTCAAGCTTACTCTGGCTAAAGCAGCGATCAGTCTGCTTTAGAATGCCTTCTGTAGTCCAGACGTCCTTTTTGGTTTCAACTGCCGGACCTGCAAGTTTAGAATCACTCTCAGTTAAACCATCATCTTCATCTTGCAAATCATAGCCATCAAGAGAGTCAATCTCTGTCGCATCGGTATCATGGGAGAATTCTGCAGTGGTTGCTATGGAACACTCTGTGACAGACTGGTCATTGTTACTCCCATTTTGCACTACGTCATTCTGGGGTGAATCAAGCCCAATGTCAAACTCATTAGGTTTCCCAGAAGTGGGATGTCCTAAGTCTTTCTGTTTCTCAATCTTTTCAGGGGCTCTGGGTTTTGAGGTTTCTTTCTGGTCATCTTCCAGTTCTTTCAGTTTGAACGTATACTTTTTAAGTGGAACAGGTTGATAGAGAGATTCATCATCACTGGAATCACTGACATCTGCTCCCGGTGGCACAGGAGACGGTGGCTGTACTCTTATGACAGGTTCAGCCAGTTGGCATTTGTCACGTTCATCTTGCAAGTTCACTTCTGTCATCTCCATTTCACGCTCAGTGGAATAATGAGGCTTCTTTTCTGACTCGCCTTGGTCTGCATCCAGTGGTGGAGGAGGAGGGAATTCAATGTAGGCAACTCTGTTACTTTTGGGTCTTTTGTTAGAGTCCTTATTTATATGATTAGGTAATGTTCTGTCAGTTTGTGATTCCTCAACCTCTGCCTGTTTTACAGATGTTGACTTAGCCTCTGCTTCTTCCTCTGATTCCTCAGATACCTCAGGTATGGGACTGGGCTTGCCTGGGATATAAGCTATTAGTGAGTCAGGTGTTTTAGATGTAAACTCATAACTCACTTCCTCTGAACTCGGTGTTTCTGGTGTCAAAGGGCTTTTACCAGAGCTATCTATAAAGGACACTTGTTCTAGTGTGTCATCTTCTGGGCTACCTTGCGGAGAAGGAGGTTGTTTTTGCTGTCTAGCTGTGTAAAATGTCCCCCTTGTCTCTTGTACTGTCTTACTCTCCTGACTGACAATTTTTTTAATATTTCCTTGTTGCACCTCTTTCTCATATTGCTTTCCTACTTGAACAAAACTGACGTAAACAGGTAAGGTCTTAATTTCTTTTACTCCCTCAGTGCTTACTAGCGGTGCAACTTTATCCAAGTAATCACTGGCACCGGGGTCAACTAACTCACTCGAAGGAAACTCCTTTCCTGGACTACATTCTAAAGAATCTGGTGATTTGCTAGGGGATATCTCCATTTCCTCAACAGGTGGACTTAGACCTATCGAGCTCTGCTGCTTGGTAACTTTTCTGATTTCTGAATGCTTTATTTTTTCATCTTCCACATAATCAATCTGCCTCTCAACTTTCTCCTTAATCACAGCTGATTGGGATACTTTCGCTGAAAGTTCATAGACACCATCAAGCGTGGTTCTCTTCTCTTCGACAATTCTGACTGGAATATGGGACACAGCAATTTCTTCTTTCCTTTTGGATATTTTATCAGCCACTTCACCATTACGTTCCCCCTCCCTGACAACAAATTCTCTGTATAAAACCCTTTTTGATGGAGATTTTACAGTCAGTTCCTTCACTTCTTCTGCATGAATTCCATTTGCTGCCAGTTTGTGCTCTGTCACAGTGATAAATTCACTTTTTTTGTCAGTTTTAGTTTCAGCATGATCAACATGGTTTTCTTTTACTGTATCTGGAACCAGCACATGTGAAAGTTTTTCTTTTTGTGTTTTATGATTAGAAGTTCCAGGACTTTCCCATGTTCTATAAACTTTTTTGTCCCAGTGTCCCTTCGTTGTTGAGTCTGAGCCATACGCCAGGTCTTTTGCCTGTGGTTCTGAAAAGTATTCTGGCACGCCTTTACTCATCTCAGTTCTTTGTTTTTGTGTGTCTGAAGCACGAAAGTCTTCGACAGCTTTCCCTTTACCTGGAACAAAATCTTCCTGTATTTTCACCTCTTTCTGTAAAGCTGTGCTCCCATCAATGACCTCTACTTGCTTTGCGTGTTTCTCTCTGGAATAAAACTGATACACTGGTAACTTACTTTCTTGGAATTTCTTTACTGGAATTTTGGACTGACCATCCAGCTTTTTTTCTTCTTGAGTTACATCCTTACTCCTTGGACTTATACTTTGTTCAAATTTAAGCCTAATGGAACTGAGCTTTGATTGCTTCAGCTGAAATCCAGTCTGTGAAACCTCAGGTACTCCAGTCTGCTGAGCAGTTCCTTTGTGTTCCATAGTTTGTTTAGAGTCCTCTGCAGGTTGCACAAATATCCTTTTTTCAGGACTGCTGGGCAAACTGGATGCTTTTCTTTCATCCACCTTGGGAAAGCATTTCCCATCGTGTGCATACTGCTTCACCTTACTCCATTCGTCACTGGATGATGGTAACTCAGAAAGCAGAACTTTCTCAGGGCTGCTGCTGGCAGAGCTCTGGCTAGAATGTATTTCTTTGCCATTTTTTTTATGCTGCTTTTTCTCCGGAGACTGTAGCTCGTCATTCAACTTCTCTGTTTTATCCCGAAAAAACTGTGATACTTCAGTCAGTTTTTCTTCTGCCTCTTTAACAGTCCTGTCCACCCTGTCTTCATATATCAACTTTTCTCTACCTCTGTCTAATCTGTCCTCAGTAAAGCGCATCCACATCGCATGTTTTGGACTACTAACATCTCCAGTGTAGTGTAACACTGTCACTTTATCATAATGATCATCTTTAGACATTTTACCTACACCATTTTCAGACACATCTTTATAGATTTTGGAGAGAATCTCTTTTTTGGGGGCAGTAGCTACTTTTTCTCTGCATCGTTTATCAGACCCCTGTAACTCTGCACTAAGGGGTAGAGCATGGTCAGTAACTGACTCCTCAGTATCAGAATGAGACACATCTAGCTTTTCTGAAAGAAGCATTTTCTCAGCAAACCTGTAAGACTCCCCTCTTAGTTCTGACAACTCATCATCATGGTATTCTATTGAGTGCTGACTCAAAAGCTTCAGTGTTTTGTAAGAGTCATCAGACATGAGTTGAGCAGAACTAGGGCGACTGTCTTCTTCCTGGGACACAGGAGTGTTAACTCTAGAGGATTCCAGATAAGAAGGAAGTGACTCTTCGGCCGTGAGCTCCTCTTCTTCTTGCTGACCTTGTTCATCTGAACAAGGAAAAGCATCATGTTTTTCCAACTCTTTTAAGTTAATATCTCCCCGAGGTAAGTCTTTCTGATATACATACATTTCTTTTTCTGGATGCTTTTTTGTTTCTCTAATAATGACTTCAGTAGGTTCAGCCTGATTACCTTTTTCAATATGGACCTCTATTATTCGCTCCAGTTTGGGTTTCATTTTGCTGTCCTTCTCTGCATGTTGCGGTGAAGTTTCAGCAGACTTGCTAACATCGGATGTTACTGATGATTTATGTTCAAACAGACCTGCCAGTTCTTTGGAAGGGTCCCGTCCAGACTGAAAGGCTTTCATTATGTCATGAACAGACATTGTTTCCTCAATTCTTTCAGATGTGCTTTCTGTGCATGGAGGTTTATGATAAACCATCCTAGTTGTCGTAGTGATATGAGTTTCTTCTTTTACTCGGACACCTTTACTAAGGACACACTTATGGTCATCATCTTCGCTGCTGCTAGCTTTCATTTGAAAAGCTTTAACCTTCTCTTTAATAGATCCAGCAGGTTTTTGCTCCAGCTCCATAAATGTAGGGGAAGGTTTCGAGGACGGAAGCTCTTCTGCTTTCTGTTCTGGAATTTCTTCAGATGATGGTTCATAGCTGCGGATAACATGAACTACTTCGGTTCTAGTTTCTGTAATGACGGGAGGGATGGGTACATCATGGAAAAGTGGTTTTGGCCCTGTGCTTTCAGCACTTTGTGGGGCAGAAGGTGTCTTTTCACTCCTTGTTTCAAAGCCACTGTCAGATAAGGGACTTTTATCTTGATCATGTTGAGAAAAGTCATCTGGAGACTCTAAAATAGTATCTGTTCCAAAAAAGGAATCTGCAATTTTACATAACTCCTTTTCTGATGTTGAAGGCCTCATGGAGGCTGGAGGCATTTTAAGTTTATGTTCCTGTAAAGCAATAGCTGGTTTTAAAATGCGTTTTTGTCTCTCTTCACCTTCTTTTTTCCCCTCTTCAAATTTGTACTTTATGTTTGTTAACGAACTGCTACCGATATCATTTGCTAAGTAATCAATAACTTTTGACAAGCTATAATCCTTTTCCGACATGGTTTTAGTTTTAATTTGGACTTTCTCTGGAACAGATATAGGAGGGCTTGTCAAAGCTTGCTGTCTTGCTTCATCAATCTCCTCTGTACTGAACTCTACCCAGTCATCCTCAGACAGGTGTCCTTGATCACTTTTGGATACTTTAGCCGACCCTTTACTTTCTAAACACACATCTTTTTTCAGAATCTCACTAACTTTTACTAAGTCCTCTTTTACTTTCTCAACAATTTTAAAGGGCTCTTCATCATCAATTCTACCCTCTTTTGGTATGTCAGGTTGGAACGGTTTGTCCTCTGCGACATCTGTCTGCAATATTGCAGTCATTCTTATTAGATCCTCTTTCATTTCAGCAACATCTTTCAGTATCTCCTGACTGGAGGATAAAGAAGATGGTGTGGACAATTTGAGAGCAGAGGGTGCTAAAAACAAGGATGATTTTATTGGAGATGAAGTTCGATTAAAGGGAGGCTGTGTGCGTGCCTCTGTAGTCAATGTTTTAATAGGCGACAGTAAAGCAGCAGCTGATTTTGTAAGTGAAGACGACTCTGGGAGCTTCTTTAATGCTGGTTCAGACAAAACATTGACTACAGAATATACTGGCACTGTTATTGTTGATGAAGTTACTGATGAGGTAGTTGCAGATATTGGCCCAAGGGCTGTGTACAAAGCACCTGCAGGAGGAGTTCTCATTGACTGGAAAGCTGATGGTGCTGAAGATACAAATGACCTGAGTGGAGAAAATGACATTGTTGTAGCTGTTGAAAACACTCTCTCAGCCGTGTCAGCAACTGCATTAGCCGCACAACTTGCAGAATGTGCAGCTGCAGCGATCTTGTCTTGAAAAACAGCTGCAGCTTTGGATCCATTTATTAAGTTGGCAGGAGATGGGTATTTCAGAGGTGACACAGATCCATTAAGCAATGGTACATCTGTGTGCCCAGCTACATGTTTTGCTGGCGACGAGAGAGACGAGGCCATCATGACTTTAGAGGATGAAACAGCATCAACTGCTGACTTAGCAGGTGACACCACTGACTTTAGAGGGGACGATAAAAGTGAAGATGTTGATGTGATGACCGATTTAAGTGGCAAACTTGAAGAGTACATGTTAATGTTGGATTTGGGGGATGCTGGAGGCGTCATGGTTATGGATGATCTCTCCAAGAGAGATCCTGCTGTAGTCACTGGAGATGTCCGAGAGGGGACTGTGGTAGTGGATCCCAGCCCTTTTAGACTAGCAGCTTCTGTGACTGCGGGAGCTTTGACAAAAGAGCCTGAAGTAACCTGCATATTGTATGGAGGCTGCGATACCACAGTTTTTATTGGTGAAGAGATTGTCCGAAATGATCTAATCGGAGATGCTACATCACTAACAGATTTAACTGAAGATGTGGTAGAAGCTCCTAATGTGGATTTGATTGGAGAAGCAGAAGAAACAGACCAAATTGATTTTAATGGGGAAGCTGTAGGAGTGTTAGAGGAAGAGCTTGATAAGGAAGTGAAGCCTGATTTGGTTTGCCCAGGCACTGTAATTGGAGCTGTTGTCCATGACTGATATGGCCGTGTTGAAAAGAATGGCTTGTATGAGTAAGTAGCAGGTAGGGATCTTGTTGCTCCTGCACTCCGTTCAACTGTTTCTTAAATTGTTAAATTAAAATCAAACATAAAAATCAACAAAAATGATTGAAAAACAGAGAGACCAGAGAAGAAAATTGGTCAGTAAACGTTGTAATATTACAAAAAGCAAGTACAATTGTTTGCATGAGTTCGGATGAAGGAAGCAAAAGAAGATTTAAAAAAGGAAAGAAAAAAATAGGAATGAGCCATATACTGATGATTGGTCCAAACCAAAAAGCAACATGAAATGAAAGACAGAAAGCACATAGCAACCAAATCTGCAAACAATGAAGAACAGAAAACACAAAGAAGGAATCCATAAGGTAAAAATAAAGCCACATCAAAATTTCTTCTCTTACTTCCTATTGACTTTCTGATGTGCTACTTCTGAAACATTTTGCCTGTTTAGGTACGTCTTTGCTTTGCGCAACTATTAGAATTATCCTTTAAATAATTTCTGTTGTTGTTCTATTCAGATATTGAACCTATACAAAATATAAACTTGTGTAAAATGACATTATATAGCTAAAATCTTTTTGTAAAACCACTCAGAACTATTTCATGCAGAACCCAAAATTCCTTTAAGTGACAGGCAATTGATGTGCAAACTGTGAAGCAACTGGAATAAATTCAAATCTGTATCTCCCATGCAGAATTCGGATATGCTTCACACTCACAAAGCCAATAAGAGCAAGAGCTTTTCGGAGTCAATATTTTAAAAAAATAATAAAAATAAAGAAAGAAAAGGAACTTTTGCATTTGTATCTCATGCGATATTCCTTTTGTTTGGTAAAAACTAAAGTAAAACTTCACATGAAATGATTTTAAGAAGCATATGTCATACATGAAATATGGAAAGTATGATATATGATAAACGTGAGCAAGCAAAGCAACTGAATCAGTTTTTATTCATGCACAATATATCATGTCAAAACGAGCACACAGTTTAATACATTTTGTATGCTGTATTAAGCACAAATATGTAAACCTTACAAAATCATTTCACAAGAGGCCATTGAAAGAAGAGTACACTTTTTCTACAAGATGTAGTGTCTTGGTACCTTTTGAGGAGATTTCTTGTATCAGCTCAAAGACAGACCTGTTCAACTTTACATTTCTCAAAAGGTAAATTAGAAAAGCAGTCAAAGAACAATATATTATGCAAAAACTTCCTGGCAAGGACAAACCTGTTAACTGTTATCATCCCCCAGAAAACTCAGCTTATTCATAGGCATTTTGAACAAAATCATCATCAACCACATTTCGCATCACAGGAGGTACTCATGCCAGAAGACAGTATTCCTGGGAATCACATTACAGCATATATATCCTCTGATACAGCGGTAACATTCAGAGAGTTGATGCTGAAAGCAACTTAGAGTTTTGTTTTTTTTTTCTTTAAAGTTGGAGTTAAAATATCCAAACAGCTTCTTCAACATACCTTTCTCTGAAGTTACACTAATAATTTGTCAAACCTGCTTGATCTGTCTTATAGACAGACAGTAACTTACAGTGAAAGAAGCTTCACAAGGCTAATACTAAGCTGTTAAATTCTAAGCACGCACACTCTGATAGAATAATGTATATTCAGTATACCACAGGTCCATATCCTGCAAGGAGAAATGTGCTGGTCCTACAGAAACCAATCAAAGCCCAGAAGGCAATGTGGATGGCTGGTGATATTGCACTATGAGAACATTTAGGTTGAAGAGAGCTTGAATACCAGGCCTGACTGGCACAGCCTATGTCAAGAAACATCCATTTTTTTCCTTGCAATTTTATTTTTAAGTGCAAACATACTTCTTTTTTCCCCTCGAAGAAGAAAACATAGTGTACTTCATTAAATAAGCTAGACTTTATTATGAAGATTAATTAGCAGCAGCTGCTAACATTCACCAAAAGTTCATACAGTCCTAAGTCCAAGAAAAAAACCCCAAAATCATTCTGAAAAGAACTAACAACAAAGCAACTTGTTCAGCAGTTTGTGTTTGGAAATGTCTTCCCAGGGACCCCACCGCGCTGTGATGAGCCAGTCTATCACAACTGGCTAGTGAGGCAATCAAACCAACAGGCTCCCCTCTTAACTGCTCTTTTTCCTGTTAAATCACAGATTCAGACATGTTTAAGATGCTTTTTCTGTGCTCATTTTATTGCAGTTGAGAAGAAGAACCAGTACAAAGAAAATTGAGTAATTTACCAGTGTGTGCAGCTATGACATAACTCAAACAGCAGGGAACTGGGCAATTTTACTGTTTTGAAATAGCAAAGAAATCCTCACAACCATGCAAGGCTTTAGAGTGGGATAATATTCTGAAGAGTGGTTTTCTATAACAGCCCTTTTTGGCTACTGGACGCTCTTGGCCTTAACAGTTTCCATCACTCTGCATCCAAGATTTTATCAGAAAACAGATGTTAGTTACTACCTTCTGTGTACCAAACTACACTTCCTTGCTTGCAGCTGGTAATTGAAAGCACTGAGTGAACCCATACAAGTGGCCTCCGCTCAGCCTTGCTCCTCTTCAGCCGCAAGCAAAGAGCCAGGACCAAGCAGATTTAACCCACTGCAGCACTCCTCTTCCGTGGGACCTCACTGCTGGGAAGAGTCAAGGGGCCCTTTGCTGCCTTTCCCTGAGGAGAGGTAAGGACAGGGAGGCAGGGGAATATCCCATCTGCCTCGCTGGCTTCTGCACCAGCACTGGCAGGGGCTCAGAGGAAAAAAATCTGAATGTGTGCACGTGCACATACACATGAGTTTGTGTGAGTAAAAAGAAAAATCCCTGCTGCAACCAAAACTGCAGGAGATGTGCCATTAAATTCACTGGAAATAGGCAGAGGTTCATCACTCATATCCAATCACTGGAGCAAACACCCTGCAGGGTAAAGCAGCCATAGCAGTGGTCCTGGCTCTGTGTTGGGTAGTGTGTGCTCTCTGGAAGAGCTGCACCTCCGAGATCACATCCTCCCCTCACACCAGCATGGTGCAGGTGGTAGTGGCAGTTGCTGACTACATGCTACATGTGCACAGGAGGTGGTGCTCAGGCTGATGGCCAAACCACTATCTACAATCTTTCCTAGCAAACACAATCATTTTTGCATACCCATTTTGGGTAGCTCACAGCCTTAAGTAGTAATCATTGTCAACACGGATAGAATAGTTAAAGAATGGTCAGGAACTCCTACTGTGTTAACCCTTTTTTTTTTTTTTTTTGAGTACAGCTCAAGTGGGTTTAGGTTTTTTTCCCCTCCAGCTTTTTGCAAATGAGACTTAATGGACCTTTGGTGAATAAGACAACTATTTTCCCCCCCCCAATGAGGCCTGAAAAACTAATTATAAGCAACATACAGAGTCATCAAACGCCTTTCAAGCAACTTCCTTTTCCCTCTCTCTCAGTTCCCATCAAGCCTTTGACGATACCTTAAGAGTCCATCAAGATGTCTCAGCAGATCTGATAGCTTCTTCAGATGTTATATGCTTGAAGTCTTCTTCCAGGCCTGAGAAGTGTAATATATTCTGGAGCACATCTGATCCAAAGAAGCCACAGATCTTATAGGATAATTAAACAGCAGCCATCCAGTGGGAACTCCCAAGACCCGATGACGTTTGTCTATGGATTTTATGGAATTATATCAAAGGGTCTGTTGCAGGGTAGCAACTGAGAAGTCATGAGGGAAAAAAAAGGCAAGAAAAAGCCTGGGAATGGGGAACAATAGCAGTCAACCTCAGACAGGAGAGGTGAGGGAAGAAAAGTTAAGTCAAATATGTTATTGTACTTAACAGGGAAGGAAAGGAATGCCACAGGTCTGGTCAAGGGGAACATAAGTTTAAGAGGGAGCAATGTGTGGTGCCAGGGAATAAAAAGCATCTGCAGGGAACAGAGGAAAAAGAGAAGGGGAGGAGAAAGAAGAGGGAAAATATAAAATATGAGAGAGTCCATTTTGGCTAAGCATCTAAACATTTAAGTGCTTATCTGAATGGCATTCTCCAGCCTTGCTGAACTTCTGCATAACATTCCCTTCTACAGCAGCTCTCTCTAATCTTTCAAAGGGAAGAGGAACAGACATTTTTTGAAAGCAATTTGCAGTCCTCCTACTCTGGAGCTACATAGCATTTTTTAACATTATTATATTTTTACTTCACTAACACATGTAATTTGCCAGTCAGGATTCTTCAAGCTCTCACAACACATGAGTTCACAGACCATCCAAGAGTTCTGTTTTAGTCAGGTGGTTTTTTTTTCTTTTTTCTTTTTTTCCAGAGTGACACCAGATACAACGTTTATAGAAAAAATGTCTCTTCTTATGTAAAATCACGTATATATGGTTTAGTACTTTGGTAAGAGCAACTCACTCATTCCAGGCTCAGTCAGATAGCTGTAGCGCTTACGTAAAGCAAGGGAGACAAAGTTCTGGCGGCGGTCAGCTTTCTCCGTCTGCAACAAAACATAATACTGTCTAGTGCCTTTAGTATCACTATCCCCCATTTGAACAGAATAATCATCAAACCTCAGTATGATGGGCCGCATTTTGCGGTACACATTCCCACAAGGGAGAACGGATGTTTCCGTTCAGCTTCAGGAAGGCATGCTGAAGCCAAATTTGGGCAAGCAGGCAGGGAATGGGCAGAGCCGGTCTCCATTCCTGTCTGACATGTAATGAGTGTCAGGCACTGTGGAGCAGAGAGCTGTGAATGACTACCCTTCTGGAGCAAGCAGGGAAGAGACTGCAACCCTAAGAGATGACCCCATGGGTTC